AACTCCAAGCTCTATATACGCCCTTGTGGAACCCCAAGTGGGAAGAAAGCTGTGGCCGCAGCGAGGCCAGTTCTCACCTTTGCCAGTGCCGGGGAGGTGGAGGCAGACAGAAGCACGGGAACAGTAAAATCATGATCATGTTTGTCTCAGTTCTTCAAACAAACGGCCTCAATCCTGTAAACTTTTCCAGTCGCTCCAAACACTTTCAGCTCCAGTTTAATGTTCGCCCTTTGGCCAGGTCAGTGCTTATTATCAGGTGTGGGTGCAAGTGCTGGAGGTCTTCATGGTCTAAAGCTTCGATCAGATATCGGGCGATGCAAGGCGGTGCGGAAGTGAGGGATTACTCGTTGAGCGGCTCCAAGTCCGATCGACAGCGATCGCAACCATGTATGCTTTTGGGGGCAGTAGAGGTTGTGGAAGAGTTGGACCCTTTTGCTGCGCTCCTCTCATTTCACAACACATGTTTTGGGAGAGCCCAAATGGGCATGTTCCTGTCACCGCGCTTGTTCAATCTGGATATCCTGGGCTGTCTTCGCAGAAAGACGAATAATGGCCCTCTGCACAACAACCCTGCAAGCTTTGCCTGACATGCTATACAAGACGGTTTTGTCCGGACCCGACAGCAGCCGGAATTTTCACAAGCAGCTCGATTGTCAGGGGCATAAGGAGCTCAAGCGGAGTGGGGGGAGAAGGGGGTTGTCCCATATCAAGACATCGCAACTCAATCAAAGCCAAAATCTCAATTGCCTGCTAGATCCCTTTCCCAGGACCACGAAGCTTCGCGGAGGCCCTCTGGAGCACCCAAGGCCCTGAAACGCGGTTTCGTCGGGTGCCGGAGGTCAGGGCTGACAAACCTACAACTTTAAGCCCTAAACTTTGGAAGATCATCAGCCCGATGCCATGACTGCGTCGCGCGAGTTCTTGCACGATGTGCTAGAGCATGGAGAACCTTATACTGGAATCTATCATCCCAAGGTAGTGCCTGGAGAAACCCATCGCCGGAATCGGGCCCCTGGCGAAGGCGTCTGACGCCACCTGCCCAGGCTTCCGCTGCAGGAGCGCCTGAGAATCGGACGCCATGTCTGGGCTGTTCTTGGAAGCCCTTTACATTTGACGCCTCTCGTTCCCAGAACCAGCCCATACTGAAACCACAGATTCTTTGCAATATCGGACTCAAATTAAGCCCAAGACACTCAAAGCACGAACTCCCAAACATGACACCTAAATGGGACTCCTCAAATGCTCGCATGAAGGAGCGCGATGGCAAGAAGCTCGCTCCCACTGGCCTTTATCCCACTTCTGCAGGCCTCAAAAACCCGGCACTCTGAATCATGCACCCTGCTCCCCGAACCCGATAGACAAGTTCGAAACCCATCAGCTTGCCAAACATACTCTGGCCTTGGCCAGCTCCAGAGCGGCGGCGTTGCCAGCTTCCTTGCAGGAGTTTCTGGAGTCAGCACCCTTGACTCTAAGATGGCCAGGTATGCATGCAATGTAAATGTAGGGCAACGCAGTGCAATATGTTCATGCGATACAATGCACAGAAGGTACTTAATTTGTAATGTATGTAATGCAGGGCAGCAATGGCCAACTATACATGCGAATAGTATGTGTATAGACATATATATATATACACATACAGACACACATGCACACATACATATGTACATACATGCGTACAGTCCAGTCCATGGTGTTTCATTGTTTTGCATTGCATAGCATTGCATACGATACGGTGCACTACACAATCTTGCATTGGATTGCATTACTTTGCTTTGAACCACATTATTACATGAGGCTTAACCTGCAGCGCATTGCATTACACCACACTGCATAGCACGCTATTACACTGCGTTGTGCAACGATGTCCCTTTCCGCGCCTGGCCCAGGCCTGCCACCGCCTCGGCCGCCCCCCAGCGGATGCCAGGGTCGAGGTCGATCCTGACTGCTGGGTTCATGGGTTTAGGGTTGTCGGGTTTGGGGCCTATGGTCTATGTTTCGAGGTCTAGGTCAAATTACCCTGGAAACGGACTCCCAGCTTGGGGTGCTTGGGTTGGGTTCAGGGCTGGAATATTAGGGGTCTTTGGAATTCCTGCTGAGTGCCTCTAGTTGGGTTCGGGGCTTGCGGTGTGGGTCTATAGCAGGGCTTTGGGATCGAGGTTCTGGGCTGGTAAAGGACTTCAAAACTTTAAGAAATACATTCTTTGCGTCAAGGGTTGTCGGGATCCAAGATATATAACCCCAAGCAGCGAGCGCTAGGACGAAAAGCTTACACCCAAAATATCCCAAGACCTCACTCAACACCCTCTCCGCTCTCGACGTGCCTGGCAATGGCCTCAGAAAGCACCCCGGCCGCCTGCATTCTGTATCAAGAAGGCTTTCGAATGTGCAGGGTTCAGGGCTTCAGGTTTACAGGGTCCAGGATTTGGGGTTCGGGGTCGAAAACAGTTGCAGCTTGGAGCTGCGGAGCTGTTAGCCACAACCCTTCAATGTCTAGAGAGAAACCACAAAAAAGCCGCCGAGCCCGCATTCGAAAGGCACTCTGGCCGTGGAAGAACGAAATCGATTGAAAATCCTCGGACCTCGATGTAATGCCGAACAACTCAAGCCGCCAGCAATTGCTTGGCAGCGTTATTGCCAACTCCCTCAACCTCGAAATCCTTCAAAGCAGAACCCTAAGTCCTAAACATCCTGAATCATCTAAAACGACAGGAAGCCAAACCTTAAATGTCAAGAGCCCCAATCACCGAAAACCTTGAACAGTTCCCAGATTGGGAGTTTCCGACAATTAGGGGTACCTTATTTGAGGGTCCTTATAAGAAGGATCCTACGATTTAGGGTAATATATATATATATATGTATATATATGTATAATAAATAAATAAACATGTATATATATATATATTTATTTATTTATTTATTTGTTTATTTATTTATTTATTTTACGGTCCCGTATTTTCGGAAACTCCCAGAACAAGACTGTGAACATGGGCCTGAGGGGCCAGGTTCTCGCAGGAGCCAAGCCTCGGCGAGAAGGGTGTCTGACTTCGTGTAATGCAGGCTCGAGGGTTTAGGGTTTAGGGTTTAGTTTAGGGTTTAGGGTTGAGGGCTCAGGGACTAGCACTTACGGCGTAGGGGTAAGGGCAGGGGGTTTAGGGTTTTTCAAGTTTTGGGATGTCAGGGTTTGGGGTTTGGAGCTCGGGGAGTTCCCATTCCGTACTTCACATTTAGGGTTTACAGTGCACAGGCGAACTCCGATAAGATGGATGGAACGAAGATTCACGACAATGGATTCATCATGGTGGTGACTGAGTCGCCTGTCAAGTCGCATTTCAGCTGCTACACCGTCACCAACAACCGTCCAACACCCCATAATCCAAACATTGCTAAAGCATCTTGCTCAAGTCAGGGTTGCAGGAGTTGAAACTTTGCTTTCGCAATCCACATCTAGCTCGGGTCGCTGTGCTTCGGTACTTTCCCGAAAGCAAAGGGTGTCTGAAAGATGGGGACTTTGTGCTTCAGGACGAAGCTGCCATACTTCAAAAGACCCAGAGTGTATGATACGTATGTTTAAACCTCAACCCCATACCTCAACCAGCACGCCGCTAAACGATTCAGTGGGCCCCAGCCTAAGGCTTCAGTCAGTCTCTCGCACGCGTCTTTTTTTCGCCCAGCCTCGCATCCTTCGCACTTCCCCGTGCTCAGGGCTGAGGGTGAGGTCTTGAGATTTAGAGATTCGGGGGTTAAAGAGTCCAGGGCTTTCGGTTTGGGGCTCCGAGCCTAAACTTCAGAGTTTGGGGTTCTGGGCTTGGGGTTTCGAAGTTGAGGATGGTGCTGGTGAGCTTGTCAAGTTCAAAATATGCCCTGAAAGCTTGGGGCAGCTTCGTCCTCCTTCTGGGAAGCCCCTTCTTGGGGCTTGGAGTTTTGGGAGCATTCGGATTCCCAGGGAATCTTCAGAGCCTTGCGGCAGTCCTTCAACCGTCTGTGGCACTTGCAAGGATCCAGAGTTTTCAGGTCTAGGGTTCGGGGTAAAGCGTTCAGTGCTTGTTGGGTGGTAAGCTTCAGGATTTCGGGTTTCAGGGTAGCTTGGAGATATCAAGCGCCACGATGCAGGCTCGACATACACCGCATCCGGAGAAGATGCTTCGGACAACATGGAAGTTTGTGGCAAAACTGGGCTTGAGCTTTGCAAGTCAAATTTAAGCTGCTAGGCGGGTTCATGGTTTAGGGATGCTTAGGGTCACGCCTCGAGGGTGTGGGAACGACTGCCCCCCGACTAGCTAGCTCCTGCCAAACTGCCACGCCAGTGCATCTATGGAAGCAGAGTGTAGTACTGCGCTCTTGCTGCCATCGGCGCTCTTCAGCTTGACCACACGTGCATGCTCATCCTCAATGCTTTCGCAAGCCATGAAAACCGTTCGAACCCACGATTCTGATGGCAGCTGGCAACAACATCGCGGCTGACGATGTCCACCCATGAGAATAATGCATCTTCGGCTTCGGACTCAGATCCCGGATCACACGAGCAGCTAAGTATCGACTGCGACTTTACCTTTAAAGGTTCCAAGATCCTTGCAAGAAGTGGTACCCTTTCAACCCTGATAGCGCTGCTCTGTGACGCCCTGTTACTGCTCTCTTCAGGCGCTGAGCCCCGATACGAGCCCCGCGGGTGGCTCGAGACAGATCTCCGGGCTAAGGGATGTTCCGGCCCCGTTCCCGTTGGGGGCAGTTCTTTACGACTTACGGCTTCGTCGGCCTCATTGGGGGCCGTGCTTTACGACTTGGAGTTCCGGCCTTTCTTGCTGGAGTCCGTGCTTTACGACTTAGGGTTTCGGGGCTGCCCAATCATGACAATCTTGCGGTTCAGGCTGCAGTGTCACGTCTGTCCGTCTGCGAGGGGGTTTACAGTTTGAGCGATCCTGCTCGGAGTCCGTGCCGGGGGTGACACGCATCCCTTTCCGCAAGGGCCAGGTGAAGGTTCCTGGCTCGGAGATCGGGCATCAGCTGAATTCAGCGGGCATCACCTCGATGGCACGGGAGTTGGAGTTCTGGGCTACTGTTGGAAGCCTTTTATATGGTTCTGACTTTGTTGGGTCCCCTATCAAGAAATTGAGCCCAGTTCGAGTTTGGGGCTACAACATGCCTGAAATCTCGAAAAGCCTGAAGTGGACGATCGTGCCTCAACTCAAAGTAGGCAGCAGGGCTCCGGTAGTTTAGCCTGTTACTCGATGCCTACTGCGGACTACCTTCTACACAGCCTGAAAACGAAAGCCCTTTCACCAGAAAGCTTAAGAACCTGACCTTACACCTCTAAACTCTGATCCAAAGCGTCATGGCAATTAAATGTCCGGCCCCGTTCTTCAGCCGCTAACATATAAACGTATCGATGTGCACATATATTTATAGATACAGAACTAATTACACAAATACATGAATGAATGCATGAATGAATGCATGAATATGTCCATGTGTACACATATAAATGTAAGTGCATATATAACACATAACTAAGTACATGAATGAACAAACTGGCAACATCCCATACACTGTTAAACATACGGATGTTTGGCAATGTTCGGTTCAGGGTGGAGGGCTTCCGATTCGAGTTTCGAGCTGCTTTTATGCTCGAGCCAAAGCTCAAGGCTTAGGAGTTCCGCCAGGGCTTAGGGCTGAAGGTTTCACGGTTTCTGTTGGTTGAAGGCGGCTTCACGGGTCCAAGGGTTTTCAGGACTCAGGGCTTGTGGAGTTTAGGTTTGATTAGGGGTGGAACGTGGTTTGGGCTTGCAAGTTCTACGTAGGATTGAGAGATGAGGATGCTGGAGTTGCGTCCTATGTAATCCCCTCGATTTACAAACCTCCTTTCTTGAAGGGCATTTACATTCGGATGGTTTTTGTAATCTTTACCACAGGAGGGGTCTTATGAATCAGCGGTGCTCGGGCAGGGGACCAGGCTAGATTTCGAGGGCCGCGCATGTAATCTGATCTTCTATAGATGCTACCGAGACGTATAAAGTCGGCCAAAGGTGGTGTTTAGCCTATACTGTAGCTGAGGAGCATGGTACTTGCACCCTACGTTTTAGCTGCTTTCGACGCTGAGGAAGTAACTAAGTTATGGAGACTAAACATCTACGCTTGAAAGCTCAAAACTGAGCCCTGACCGAAACCCTAAGCTAAAGCCCGAACTCAAAGCTAAGTATCCCAAAGGTTACGCTCAACATCAATGAGTCCTGGACGGGAGGCCTGGCCGCAGTCCTCGTCCGTGTCGACACCGTAGCGTTCGAAGAGTTGCTGCAGCTTTGCTCCGATGCCCTCTCCTGGGCTTTCTGCTGCTTGTTTCGGGGTGGAGAATGTTGGGGGTTTCGGGGCGCAGGGTTTCGTTTCGGGTTCAGGGGTGAAGGTTTTGAGGGTTCCCTCCTGGGTTTTGTAGTTTTCTGTCAGCGTCTTTCCTAAGCTTGTCTTTGCAGGTGTTGAAGGTTTGCGGTGTGCGCCTTCGGCTTGCGGTTCGAGGCTTCTTGTGGACTCTTGAAATTTGATGGACCTACAGAGTTATTCTTAGTTTACTGTTGTAGTTTGTGAGACTCTCCAGCAGACATACATTTATTTCGGTGGCCTGTTCTGTTGGACTAACCCCGAATCATCAGCACTGTGTGAGCCAGCAAAAACATGCAAAAACAAAACCAACAACACATCCATCACCATCACCGCCACCAATGCCACCGCGACCACCAGCGGCGACGCCAATGCCACCACCTTCACCCCCGCTTTGGTCATTGGATGCAACCATTATCATATCGTTACCTACCGTCATCAGCAACTTCTCAAAGTCTTAGTTGCCACCATGATGATCATGCTGACGATGACGGTAAAGATCAGATGGTAAATTGGCTGCTAAGGGTGCAAACGATTGTCTTCTTGCGTCCATGCAGCACATCCTTTTCTGAAGTCTGTTCTGTTCATCAGGGTTGAAACCGTTCTGAAAACATAGACTTCAGACTGCTTCCGCGGGTCACACAGACTTTCAACCGACGCTAGTCGGGTCTTGCTGATGTGCCCAAGACTCCCAATGTTTTCAGGGCGTCTACACAGAGGCGCTTCCGCTTGCGCCAAGCGCCCGCGGCCTGGACCAGCTCAAATCCCAAACTGCGAACCGTATAAAGCCTAAACTCTCAACTGTCAACCTAAAAGGAAGTCTGTTGTTTGGAGCCAGTTGATCGTTTCGCGGGTAGCTTTATGCTAGGCCCTCGATATTGGGACTTTCTCTTCGAGCAGGACACGGGAATTCTGCTTCTGGGTCGCGCGGGCTGCTGAACTTCAGGGCTTCGAGTGGCTTGCCGAGCAAAGCTTAGGCTCAGGCTCTTGTAGGTTGGGGTTCCAAGCCCTGGTCGTCGCATCAGGCTCAATGGCTCTGGATTGGGGCGTAGAAACCCTCAAGATTGAATCTTAGCGCGCAGCACAACAAACAGAAACTTCGCCGTAATATGCCGAAATCAGCAGTCCCTGCTGCGACAAGCGGGCTGAACGTCTCGAACCGAGTCATTTTGGTCCAAGAGCCATGTAGGATTTAGAGGTTTAGGGCTTCCGCTCATTCGATGGCTTCATCCAACTTCGTATTTCCCGTGGTGGGGGCTCGGTGCACCCAACCCGCAAAACCTTCAGAAAGTCCGCAACGTAGAAGTAGCCTCCGAAGAAGCTTCACAAAGGCCATGTAAATTTGAACCATGAGTCCACGCTTCCTCTCCGGAAACATACAAAACCGTGCAAGGCACAGGACACAACGCCACACCGTAAAACCCCAAACCCTTAAAACTTCCCGGAACCAAACCCTACGGCAGAACCCGGCATATTTGCTCTTGGCACATGTAGGGTGCGGGGGGGCGAGGACATAGGGAGACTGATGGTTGCAGACGTTAAAGTTTAAGTTACAAGGTTCCGGGTTGGAGCTCCATGTGTTCGAGGCGTGGTGTTCCTCACGCCTTGGGGCTGTCTGAGGCTCTGGAGTTGTGCTTCGTTGTTCAGGGTCTGGGCTTCGGGAAACCAGGTAGCGCCTTCTTCAGCGAATCTTCCACCGCGAGGACCTCACCTGAAGTCACTTGGGGGACGCCGTTGTCAAACTTCCACAGAACTTTACATTGGAACTTTGGACCCCAAAACCAAACTAGTTCAGGCTGGTCCCGTTACAGGCCGATCAGGGTCAGCGTTCAAAGCTGGCTTGTGGCTCTGGCTTTCTTTGATGAGCCACCCCTTCTCCTGCAGCATCTGGAGGCCGAGAGTCCTGTGAAGCCTTCTCCTACCGTTCCGCACCTTCATGCGTATGCTTGGAACACTAAGGCCACTAAGATTGCATCGTACCGGGATCCAGTACATAATCACGAAGTCTCACGGTGCTTCCAGTCAACCTGGCAATCGAAACCCACGCGATTTAGATGCGCTGTCGTGTGAATAGTGAAAGGTACCCTAACCCTCCAAGTAGGACAACCCGAAATGCGAAGCAGAGGTTGCAATCCGAAAAATGTACAAACGTAGAATGGTCCCAGCTGCGCTCGTCCACCCTCTCCTCGCCCGAGGCAGCGCGGAGCGACGAGGCCTCCGAACATAACATGGGACTTACACAGCATCGCCCTCTCTCTATACCCCATACGGTTCATGATTGAAACGGAGAAAGCAAAACGAAGAACACAGAATGAACCACGGGAAAGCACTGGAAGGGACGCGTATTGCTGATCATCTAGAATTTAGATCTCGATGTCGGGGCATCCCTGGAATTCGGGTTTGGTTCTAAAGCTTCTGGCTCCGAAAGGGTTTTTGAAAGGCTGGCTTCCGGCTGAGGGCTGCGGGCTGAAGCACCTCTTGCATGGGTTGGTCAACAGCACACACTCCTGCACAGTCACCTATTTCGCTCTTTCGTGGAAGAGACCAGACTGATAGGTAACCGTGCGTCCGGTCTTAGAAGTCCTGCACGATAACCCCTCAATGTAATCGGCAAGTCCCCAAGACTCAAGCATCAAAAGCCCCAAAAAGGAGCAGAAGGGACTCCAAAGGGGCCTGGGTTTTGCACAGCACACACTTGCGCATACTTTTGGGTACTTGTCGTTTCGATCAAACCTAAAGCGCGTGAGCCCTGAACCATGAAGATCCCAATAACATAAAACAAGATGAAGCCCACCTTAGCACATCCAGGGACACAAACCCTCTCTCCACCACCTAACAAACGAGGATGGTAGAAAGATACAAACCTCTCAAGCCCCAGAAGTGCAAAATTTTAAAAGATACCCACAAACCCTACCTCAGCTCTTAACCCTCTGAACCCTCATCACCATAAACCCACCCTAAACCCTAAACCCTAAACCCCCCATATAAGCCCGTGACCCCCCATACCCTCATCGCAAAGGACAGCTCAAGGCCTTCGCCTCGAGCTTGGCGACTTCATCTGCGGCCGCCTTGGCCTTCGCTCCGTGGGGCGGGCGGAGGTTTCCGGGGCTTTGGGATTCAAGTGTTAGGGTTTAGGGCTTGGGGTTTAGAGGGTGTAAGTTTCAGGGTTTTGGGCTTAAGTTACTTTAGGGGTTTTAGGGTTTGGGGGTTTGGTTGAGTTTACGGAGGTCTCAGTGTTTTGGGCTCAGTCTGAGGCGCGGGGATGACTTCAGAGTTTAGGGCTCAGGCGTTCAAGTTCAGTTGAGGGGTTTCGGGTTTGGGAAACACTGTCAAGGGCCTTTAGGTTATCGGCACCCGGAACGGCACAGACATGTCAGCGTCCCATAATTAATGGTTTCTGGTTCTTCTGTTTGAGTGGTTTCTGGGGACTCCTGGATTTTGGATCTGGATTCAATATTTCAGGTTTAGGGTTGAAGGTTCCGGCCTCTCTTGCAGCTGCGTGCTTGCTCTCCAACTGCGACAGCGACTTCCGCACCTCATCCTCAGCACGTGAACGCTTGGCTGACGGAAAATCAATCCCAAACCCTAAGCTGTAAGCGCTGAAGTTTCTTTTTTTTTGAACCCTCTTTTCCTCCTGCCTGGGTAGTTAGTCGGAAAGCCTTGTAGGCCGAGGGGCTGTAGCGACGAAGCGCTGAAGTTTCAGGGTCCAGAGTTTTGACTTCAGGTGTCTTAGGGTCTCTTGCAGAAGAAACGACATGGCCTGGGCCTGAAGTCTCGAGGCCCCCGAGACTGTAAAGCTACAAAACTAGAACGGAAGACGTCGGGCTTTGGGGTAGGCAGCGACCAACTGCCCCATGAATTATGCTGCTGAGACCGCACTATTCTACACAAGATCCAGGGTCGGATGGCGCTTTGCCCGGCCACATGCACGACAAGTATATGAAAAAGTGGGAAGCACCACAACCATCCTCTCAACCACCCAAAGCCGCCCAAAACCTAAGCGACACGACCCTCCACCCTAAGCCCACCGCCCAACAAACAAATCAGCAGCTCTCATTGCGACGTGAGCACCACCTGGCCCTGGATTTCCTTCCGCTGGGCCGAAGCCTCAAAGAGAAGCGCAAACAGGGGGTCCTTCAATGTAGTTGGGTTCGGGGTTTTGCAGTTATGTCCCCACTGTGGGCTAAACTCAGTTTGGCTTCAAGTGCTTCTCTTTGGGGTTTTTGGGCAGGGCCTCGGGCAATTGGGTTTTGGCTTGCGATTCAGATGGAAGGGTTAGGATGAGGGCTTTCTGGCTGGGGAATTCGCCGGCCTATCATGGCCTGCGAAACTGTCTGGGAGACGTTGTGCGCATGCCTAAACCCGAAATCCTGTGCTTGTGCCCAAACCTTAAACGCCTGTCAACTTCCGCTCCTCCCGCGAGCACCAATCCCCAAGCCCTTGCGGACCCAAACCTAAACCGGAGGTCACCAACCCCGAACTTCGAACACTGGCTCGAATGAAGGCTCGGCTCGAGCCTTCCATGATCTGAGTGCGGCAGAAGGAGGTCTAACGGTGTCCCAATCGAAACACAAGCCACAAACTGCACCATGCAGGGTTCGTGGGTTGGGTTTCTACAACTGTTGGGTTTAGGTGGCAGCGTCGTAGCGTTCCCCATCGGGTTTAGGTTTAAGGGGTTGGCCCGCCAGTTGACCTGCTCGACGGCCGCCGCCAGCTCCTCATCACCGCCAGCCGTAGGCGCTGTCTGGGCAGCGAGGTAGACCTGTCAACATCTTCTGGGGAATCACCGGGGCCCGGGATTTCAGGCAATGTACACTTGATCTGGCCAATGATTTAGTTAAGGAGTCCCAGGTTTAGGGCCTACAGCGTTTGGGTGAGTTTGGATGTTAGCCAGCTAGGGATCAAGAAGCTTCGATAATTCGAGTTTAAGCTTCAGCTGAGGTCCCCTTCGCGCTGCCCGCACCTTGATCTTGCCGTACTCCTTGAGCACGAGCTTCCCAGCGACACAGAGCGTGTCCATGATGGTCTCGGCACAGGGCATCAGGACGTCTAATTTAAAGACACTAATGGCTGTTGGGGCAAGTTTGGGTCTGAGCTTGGGGTGCGAAGGCGCCGCATCGGGGGTTTTGCGGCCATCGCAGTTGCAGTAGCCTGAATAACTAGAACCAGTTTTCAGAAGCACAGCAAGCTACAAGAATACTCGGGTCCAAAAGCTCCAGTACTCAGTAACCCATATGGACAAACGGGCTCCCAGCGCAAAGAAGAACGCGAAAAGAACCGCATGGTATGAGCGGTTGGCTCCACGGACTGCTCAGGTTCGGGGTTTCGCGGTGTATCCATGCTGAAAAGCTACTAAGCTACTAGCCTGTGGATTTGGTCTGGGCATTCTCAATCTTGATGGCCCAGCCCGACAAGTTCAGCGTTCGCCGCTTTATATGCAGCTGGGCAGCTTGAGAACCCCAAACCGACTTAAGCAAAAGGGTTGTCACAGCTCAAACGCGCAGGCCCGCTTCCGAAACCTCGCGCCCTGGGCCCTCAACCCCCAGACTCAAAACGACAAAGCCCCGAAACGTCAAAGAAATTTGCAAACCCTAAAGCCCGCAGGAAAAGACTAAGGCAGCTGCATGCATGGTTCCAGAAACCTAAACCCTAACCCAGGGGGTTTGCCTGCACGGTGGCCTTGGGCACGGCACCATGGAGGTTGTCGAAGACATTCCTCGGTGGCGTCAGACCCTAAGGTCTCGAAGCCCGAACCTCCGTTCTCGCGAATCAGCCCCGTAACCCTAACTTCTGGATCCCAACTCCGTAGGCTCTCAAACCCCTGGGTGGTACTCCCCAAACCCAAAAAAAACCGAGAACACCTATAAATCCCAAAACGCGCAACCCAAAAACCGTTAAACCCCTAGACCCTGAAAGCCGAAACGGGCCGAAACCTTTGAAACTGGCGAAAACCTGAACCCTTTTAAACGCTCAAAGGACGAGAGTCTGTGAATTGTATGGCCGGTTCTGCTGCCTGCTGCGAGGCTGTGGTGGTTGAGGGAAGCTCCGTTTGAGCTTTGGGGGCTTAGTAGGGCTTGGGGCTACAGAATCAAGTTGATGGGGTTTGGGGTTTCACATACGTCTTTTCCCCACTAAATCAAGGGTTTCGGGCTTAGAAGTTTGGGCGTAAAGGGCTCCTGACACAAACGTTGCAGAACTTGAAGAATTGTTGCAAGTTCTTGGCGACTCCGGGCTCAGTCCCCTACAGCCCGTGACCTCGGAAGACTTTCCCGCGGGCACAGAGCAGCAAACCCCAACCCAAATGAATCGTGATCGGAGCATCACGGGGCATCTGAAACCAGAAGCATCCATATTTTGGGGAGCCCTTTGCCTGAGGAATGACTCCATGATGGATGCTGCATCAGAAACAGGAACCTTTCAATCATTCCCCCTATCAGGTGCTTTCCTTTTTGCGGGCTCTCCACGGGACAAGAGTGACTTGGACCAGAAGCCCAAAGTTACCGGCCTCATGTACTCCAGGACTTTGGCCTCCATCTCTTCCTGACACGACAGGTAGCTGTGGGTCTCAAGCCGAAAGCGGAGGCAGGGAGCCCTGAACCAGTGAATGCTCAGCAGAAGGCAGGCTTCGGCTTTGAACACCAGGACGTAAACCGCCCCGGGCTGGTATGGCAGCCCAAGCTCCCAGGGTTCACTCAAGCTGAATGATGACGATGAGTGCCGCAAACAGGACGCCAACAGAATTGTAGAGGAGCCCCAAATCACAAAACCTGAGGCCTTAACCTCAACTTTACACTTTAGCACTGCACAAGCGGTCCTTCGTCAACTTCTTCTCTTTTGCTTCCGCCTGGGGCTGTAGGGGGCTGTACGACCGGGATCAGAAACGCTTCACGAGCACGGACTTGTTCAGAATTGACCGCTTGGAAAAATTATCCAACGGGCATCGTACGAGCGGCAACCAAATTCCCAAACATGTTTCCATGTCTTGTCCTGTAGAATGCTCACACTGAGAACAGAAAAACAAAGAACATGCACTACAGCCACCAGGGAGCAGAACAAAAACATTCATCCCCAAACCCGAAAGCTTGAAATCCAAACTGCCTGTATTGCTGGTACCACAGCTGCAGAGTGTTCCTAACTGCACTTCAGTTCTACGGGCCGCGAAGGCGAATACGCAACCTTGACCGACCATCGAAGCAGAACGTTTGCACGGGAAGGGGGATTGCAAATTAGAAATGACTAAATATATAGAACTTCTCGTTAGCTGTTAGCTATGAGAGGATAGCAGACTAATCGGTACGTTCCTCACCAGACTGTATCCGAGTATCTAAACAGTGTAAACAAAATGCCATCAACAACTGCTGTTTTAACAAATGTTCTTCCTTTCGAGCCTTGGGTGCGGCGGGCTTTTTCGCTGCGGGGGCAGCCAGCCGGGGCCTCTAAGCATTTGGGAAAAACTGAGTCTAAGGTTCTGTATCGGTTTGTGTTTGTGTTGCTCGGGATTCCGGGCTTTAAGATTTGGGGGTTTGGGCTTTTCGGGCACAGGTTGGGTTTGGTGAATTGCGGCTTCTTGCGACTTTGGATGCTTGCTTTGGGGCTTTTAATGTTGATTTGGAGTTTGGGGATCTGTCTGCCTTATGCAGTTCTGTTTGGCCGTGAAGGGTGAAATGCCATTACTATGTACGCAACCTGCCGGGTTCTGAAGAACATGTTACGGCTCGGGTCATTCGAGTTCCATGAACCTCGTGTTGTTGTGTTCGGAGGCTGGTGACGACACTTCCTGGTCCTATGACTTCTGTGCTTTTTGATATGTAAAAATGTAAATCAAGCATTACTTCCCCGCTTCCTGACTATGAGGATCACAGAGTGAGTTGCCTGCCTTCCTGATGCTACTAAGTATATATGCGCATTGCGATGACGATCACTTCGAAGGCCGATGATGGTGACGATAAGAGGAATAAGCAACTCCTTCTTGCCGCACAAGCCCCGATAGACTAATCTCTATATTAACATATAAAAAAAATAGTCGTCAAACGCTAGTTCCCGTTGCTTAGCCAACCAAGCGGCTGCTTCGCCGCAACGTCTGCGGCAGCTGCATCCTGCACACGATCAGGCGGGGTCTGGGGCTCAGACTCTGACAGGCGAAAGCGAGTGCAAGTTCCAGACGTTTCAGGTATGAAGGGTTCGCGTTTCAGCGCTCAGGGGCTTCAGGACTCCTGCGGCTTCTCATACTAAAAGACACAAATGCAGTTTAGGGTAAACATAGGGATTACGGTTTCATACTTTTCCGGGTTTGAGAAGCACAAGAAATCCAATCAGTATGCGCTCAAAGCTTGGCGAAGGCGAATGCCAGGAAAGATCCTTGAGCCCTGAGCCCGAGACCTTGCCAATGCCAACCGCGGAATCCCGAACTTCTGCACTCACGAGCTTCAACTCCTGAAGCCTGAACCCCGACCTCTCACTGCCTCGGGAGTGGTGCTTCTTGGGCTTCGTAGACAGACCCTTGAAGAGCTGAACTCCTATTCTGCTCCCCGAAACCGCAAAACTCGGAACCCCTGAATCCGAAACGGCCTGAACTCCTCAACTCCAAACGCAAATCCCCAAGCTTCTAACTACACTAGAACCACTAGAAATTCTTGAGCTCTCGAACCCCTCACTGCCTCGGGAGCGGGACGCTTCTCGGGAATCTTGGACTCCTCCTGGCAGGCCGCTCGGCTTTCAGAGATGGGTTGAAGATGCTTGGGACTTCTTGCTTCGGGTTTACCTGCTTCTGGAAGAAGGGAGTTGCAGATCCGGGACTTGATGTTAAGGACCTGCAGTCTTCGAAGGTTGAAGACTGGACTTTGGAGTGTGCAATCTCAAGCTTACGGACTATGTATGGAGGTGGGATTTGGAGATTGGAGCTTGGACTTCTGGGAACTGGGGTTTGCGAAATTCAAGCTTCCCGGCTGCAACTGCATTCCTTCAACTGTCGAATGTTTTAAGCCATAAGGACTCATTGTACCTCAAATTCCCTGCGAACCTGAATCTTCTCTATGAGCAATTCCAAAGTTTTCCGGCCCAAGCCGCCCCGAACCTGTAATTCTATGACTCTATCGGCAGCAACCGACTGAAGCCGAACATGGGTGGCTTATGATGGTCTGACTAGGGATCACTCCAGCGGCTCTTTGGAAGTCTGGCTATACGGCTACGGGATCTTGGAGCTGTGCATGGTTGTTGGTCTGGGGGACTTCCGCAAATTAAGAAACTGCCCTTTGCTAGGCGGGATTTCAACGGCGCGGATACTTCTGGGCTGCTCACGAATTCAGAACCTGGGATGAAGTGCAGCTTCGACCTGTTGAGATGCTGCTATGTTTGAGAGCCTTTGCAGTCAGCCGCTCGACGCGCCCCTTCAGCTCATCAGGCAGCCCGCCGGAGCCGCGCCAGGTGCGAAGGTCCAGGAACCAGTTGTGCTGCCAGGCATATTTCTGCTTGGTGGAATTCATCTTCGGAGGGGACCAGGGCGGATACAGAGTGAGCTTGCGGGGCCTGTTGGCCACAAAGCCTGTTTGCACCAACTCGGAGATGGGAATCAAGAACACGCCTTGCAGCCGACCTTCAAGCAAGACACAGGCGACCAGCAAGTCGAAGTCGTTCTGAGCGTATGCTCGTCGTCCAAGCGAACCTCCGCTTTTGCTCAAGTTTACAGTATATCTGCCCTCACGCTCAAGGAAGTGTGATGACTTCTCTTGTAAGCATAACACCGGCCCCCCGATGCCGACTTGCAGCAGGGAGTCGACTGTCGTCTGATGTTCATGCGGGCAGGTCAAGCTCCAGCTCATGCTTCGGAACAAAGCTTTGAGCTGCCGATGCACAGCTGCTTCAACCCGATGAGAAGGGGAGCAATCACACTCAGCCTCTTCAACCGATACATGACGAAACCTCCTTGTGTTCTTGAAGCAACCAACCAAATGCGACACTATGTTTTCGACCCGCCGATGCGTATCACTGTCGCATCCGATGGTTATGCCCATGCTCTCAGACTTGAGTTCCTCGCCGGCGGCCGCCCAGAAGTGGCCCCCATCCAGCGCGACAAGAACGACCAGCATGCCGTCGTATCCCCGCAAGTTGCTGAAATGGTAAGCCCTTCCTTCCCTGCACCGACTTGTTGCTGCCTTGAGCTGAATCGGTAGACCCGCTTGTGACGAGCCGTGCAGCTTGAACAAAGCATCTGCTTTGGAAGACCCAGTCAAGCGCACCAGCTCGTACTTCTCCGAGTAAGGTGATGCATTCAAGGCCTCCTTCAACAGCTCGAAGGATCTGGCCTCTTTGCGGTGATTGGCGCCCCATATTTTCATCGCACGCCTGCGTGCCTCTTCCGGTGTTTCGTGGTATGCAGCTTCCTCCTCCGAGGGAAGATTCAGTAGGTTCTTGAGCCGGAACTTGTGATCTGGAGTGGCATCTGGGTATGTACGCCTCACCTCTCGATCATAGGCCTGTGCGGCCTCCTTCGCTGTACTGAATTGACCAATGTAGCCTGGTCCGTCTCGAACTTGCAGCAATGCCTCGAACACATGAGTTTGCTTGTGATATCGCACGCCGCGATACTTGGCAGCCTCGGCCCAGGCTGCAGCCTCATGGAGCACATGGACAGGTGCCCTCAGAAGCGCCGGACGGAGAACCACCCATACCAACGCAAGCACACACCCTGTTAACAAGGCAAAAATTCGGCATTTTGGCCTCCTCAGCATTTGCCTCAGCAGGCAAAATTTACCCATCCACGAAGCCATCACAGCAGCACGTCGGCTCTCGCTTCTCCCCCTCACGAATTCCACAACTTGAGCAGGTTGCCGGAGCAGACTTCGGTTACTGAACGGATTGGAGCCGTAAAGCAAAAAAGAACAAGACACGTGGGGCGTCAGCCACCTCAAGTGGTAGCCAGCTAACTCGTAGCAACAAACATACCCACAAAAGACACGGAAGTCCCGGATCCTGAAACCACAGATTCGCTCTGAAACGCCTGCAGCACGCAAACCTGACGCTGCGAACTTCAAACGCGCCTTCGCCGCAGGTTTTGGCGAAGGCTTTTGGACGGGAGGCGTGGCGGCCTCGCGGATGAAACTTGCCGCAGCACACGCTGGCTTGCGGAAGAAGTATGCTTTTAGGTTTAACACGAGAGTTTCAACAGTATGCAGTGCCAGACCCCTTGACCCATGCATTGCGAGGGTGCTCTGTACCCCAAAAATGTAGCCCAAAAGACCCTGTTGCATGAAAGGGCTCCTTCATTGCTCAGATGAGGCTTCGTCTTGGGATACGAGGATGTGGGTTCGGGGATCACAGTTTAGGTTTAACGAGTCTTGTAACTTCGGAGAATGAACATGCTGAATAATTTGTTGTGGCATCGCGAATCTGCGGTTCAGGATGTCGTTCGCAAAAGAGCTGCTAGCCGTTGTTTCTAAAGCATGATGGGTCCTCCTACGCCGCCATAAACAGAGCTCCTGAAGTCTGGATTTCGACAGTTGCCTGTACGGTTAACATACAGGAGCTCTTGGAGCCTGCGCCAAAACCTCCCGGGTTCAGGCGATCGCATCCTAGCTGTTAAGAACTTCAGGATGAAGGGTTCTCAGCTGCAGAACGTGGGGCTGCGACAGCAGCATATGGAGAACCCTATACTGCAGCCAAGCCAGGCAGATAGACACAGCTACCCAACCCATGGCCGCTGGCTCCGAGGAAGAAGCTTCCTGCTATGATCTTCGCAGAAAACCAAAAGACACTCATCAGTTCACATCCCTAAAGCTCGAAAGACCAAACCATCGACGCTTGAACCCTGCAGCGACTTCCCCGAAACTGACACAGACTTGAAAGCTTCCTCTGCGATGCTCAAAGACAGGCCCCTTACAGCTAGGTTCTCCAACCAGCTGCCAGCAAGATTGATTGGCCCGACAACTTAAGTCCAGAATCCTGTGCAATTTGGTCTTTGACCAATTTCTTCAAACCAAAAGCACCATACCCTGACCCAAAACGCCACGCTTTATATCGAAATGCCCTCATACCCGAAGCACCTTCGCCGCAGCTTTTGGCGAAGGTTTCGGAATTGGCGGTGTGGCTGCCTGTTGCACAAAACACAGCACATTCCACCCTGAATCACCCGCATAGAACTTCAAAACTCCGGGTGAGCTGTATGCCACAATGGGATGCTAAGCCCTCTATGATATCCGCACGCCACATATCCAGAGCCCTCAGGATCAGCCTTCGCAGCAGCTTTGGCCACGGCCTTAGCCGCCGACTTCGGAGTTGCTGGCGAGGGCGCCGGCGCCTGCAGATCACCCTTAAGTCGCCAAGCCTAAATCCTCCCTAGCCCGTATTACAGTCTTGGGCTTTCGAGAGGTGTTCGGTTGAAGTTGGGTCTGGCAGTCCAGGTTTTAGTGTTTAGGGCTCTCGAGGTACACCGGACTTTACAGCTGTTGGGCTTGAGGTTTGACACATGGAAGCCGAGATCACGAGACACCAATTTGGGGCACGGCACTGCTTGCTTCAGCTCTCGGAAATTTGGGGTTTAGGACGTGAATCTCCTGGGTTTCGGTTTCAGGAAAAGGCTGGAAGGCATAGCACTTTAGTTGAACTATTTCGGCAATCACCCCGAGCCGTACATCGAATCCTTCTGAGAGATCGGACGTCCACGTTCAATGCCCAAAAGCCTCTGAACTTTAAAGCCTCAATACTGCATCCTAGACCCTGAATCTGCAGATTTCAGCAACCTCTGATCGATGACTGAAGCCCCCTGAACCCTGAACCAGACTCAAAGAAAATATCGCCAAACCTGAGACGTACACTAATCTAAATCAACTTCCCAGATTCTCAGTCACCGAGCCTTAAAAAGTCGACGAAAGAATCAGTGTGGATTCCCAAAGCTAGAACAACTGACACTCTTCAAAATCCAGAGGGCTGTTTTCCTCCCCTCTTTTGCCTTCGCCACGGGCGCGGGAGTTGGCGCCTTGGGCGCGAGCGCAGCGAGGCAGCCCTCCTCTTCCTGTCAGACTCTGTGTCGGTGCCGGTGGGTCGCGCGCGGATTCCTTCAACTTTTCGCCGATTATTCCGTCAACCACTGCCCACGGATTCTGTCAACCCGGAAACGCGGATGCCTTCAACCTCAAAACCTGATTCCTTCAACCTCAGAACGCAGATTCATTCAACCATGTCCAAGGGAATGATTCCTTCTTCAACCCAAAGAATTCGTTCAACCCATACACAACCTGATTCTTTCAACCCCAGCACGCAGATTCACTCAACCATGCCTGATTCTTTCAACCCCAGCACGGAGATTCACTCAACCATGGCCCCGGGAAAGATTCCTTCGACGCAAACAACTGCTTCGTTCAACCCATACGGAAAGAGTCGCTCCAACTAAAGACACGCGTGCTACCCCAACCACGAGTACTCACTCAACCCTAACCGGGGGGGCGGAGTTGACGGAATCAGCACAGCATGCGTTGATGGAATCGGGCGATGGGGGTTGACAGAATCGGCAATATCCGGGTTGAGGGAAGCGGGCGATGGGGGTTGCAAGAATCGGCACAATCTGAGTTGAGGGAAGCGGGGAACATGGTTGAAGGAAGCGCGGTTGACGGAATCTTGGTTGACGGAACCGCGCGAAGTTGAGGAATAAGGCTTGTACGGGTGCCGGTGCTCAGCCTTTGTGGTTTTTAGGCTTTGGAGTTTAAGGCTGGGGCTTTAAGGTGTTTCGAGCATTTTGTTGGTTTAGGGTTCAGGGCTCGGGATTGGGTGGTTTGGGCAAGGCGCTTGCAAAATCACCACAACCGGGCCTGGGATTTTGGGTTGGTTCGGGGTTTAGGTTCAGGTGCTGGCTTGAGCAAGACTTGGTGAGGGAACTGGAGGCTCAATTTCAGGTTCACCTTCGTCCCTTTAAACTTTCAGGTGCCAGGCTTGGGTGTCCAACCTCGTCGTCGTCAGCAACAGGGAGCTTGGACGGAGCCGCCCCTCCTGCCCAAAGCTTCGGGAGCTTCTAGGGCTTGGGGTTTAGGTCAGGGGCTGGCGGCAAGGGGGTCTTAGGGCTCAGGGTTTTCCGATTAGGGCTTGGTGGGGTTGAACGGCTTAGGGGTTTACGATCACGCTTGAGGGTTTAAGACGAGGGGTCTAGAATTTAGGGGGTTGCGGCCTTCAGGTGGATTAGCATTTGGGGTTCATGCGGCCCTGGAAACCGGTTGACCGAACTTAATGGGGCACAGTAATCCACTTCAAACACTAGCTGGTCGAAGCTCCAACAGCATGAGCTGAGCGTCGTGCAGTGCCCCGAAGACCCACCGCAACAACAATCAACCAGGCGAGGACGATGAAACAGGGTCGCACGGTCATACACAGTCAGAATAACGCCTCAGAAAGTCTCGACAACTTCTTGTAACGCTTCCAGAGTCTGGCTCTTCATTGCTGTGTGATGCTGTCGCTGGATGGCTTTGCCGAGTTGCAGATCCCGGGCTTCTGGGTGACTTTCTTATAACCTGGACCTACCATGACCTTCTGTGTAAGGTTCCATGTCAAAAAACATCCGAGAAAAAACGTTCAGAAAGCAAATCGGAAGTCGGATTTGGGGGGTGGAACCCGGGGGCGTCCTTGCACTGCAGGTGCCGGCGGTGCCGGTGATGCTGCTGGAGGCTTGGCCGCTGCCGGCGCCAGCATCTCCTGCTGGGGGTTGAGGCGCGGAGGGTTGACGAACAAGAGCTTTAAGATTTAGGCTTGGAAGTCTCAGGGTTCAAAGACCTCCTCCACTCCAACGGCTGCGCCTGCACTCCAACGCAGTCTCGTCTTACGCCGGTAGCACAAAGGTGCCTCATCGGAGGACTCCCCCACATCCATGCTGGCAACAACCTCGGTCATATCAAGGGCGGGTCGATCGGCGAATGCTAGCGACAGGTTCACGGCAACGAGGCCGAGCACTGACTTGCATCACACGCGGACCCCGCAACGACAAGTATGAATACCCGGAACGCCCGTGACAGGTCTCGGAGCAGTTTGTGGGTTATGACTGCTAAGGTTTAGGGAATACCGTCAAGAGTCAAGAGTATATGGGTTGTGGAAGAGGATAGGGCCCCCTTCAAGGACCCAAAAAAGCTGGGAAGCTTCACAAGAGTGTAGGTAGCAAGAGCATCAACTACTACTATTCACTAACCTTAAAATCCGAGCAAGGGCATTGGCTTCAAGGTTCTGAGCTGCCGACAACGCTGCGCAGGGGAGGCGCCTGTGGAGATAACAGCCACTGAGGCTCAGGGCTTCGAGCTTACATTGCGGGGATTGCTGGAGCGTGAATTCCTGCTTGGCAACCGCATGCTCCAATCCTACCATGCTGAAGTCTTTGATTGATGCAAAACTACTGCTGCCATTCTCTGTCTTGGCACCACCGTCGTTACTTCTTGTCTCATCACACTGCTACGCGCCGGGCCTATGAGTCATGAATGCGGCGTTTCTGCCAATGCCGCTTACATTGCTTAAATCCTTTAGCAGCGAGACCTGAGGAAAACCTGCCTGTTCCGTGGAACCGCCAGAACTGGGCCTCAGAGGTATCTTCAACAGAAATATCCCCAGAAATGTGGGGACCCGCAGACAGGGACCCTCAACCTAATTCAAAACGAAAATCGACACCCCCAGACTTCTCTTCAGAAAATGGAAACGCAATCCAAGCTGTGGAGGACTGGAAGAGACACGGTCTTTGGGTTCGGGGCGTCGTGCTCTTGGGGTG